TAGTCGGCAGGTAAACTTTATACAAGCTTAAACCTAGGCCTCGTCATAGGTTGGGTTGGGTATAGGTTCGGGTAACAACCCAACTTAAATACCCAACCCCTACAAATAAGCTGGGTACCCAGCTTATAAGCGGGGTACAACCCAACGGTAAAAACCCAGTGGGTATACCCAATGGGTATTGCAATGGGTATTACATAATACGAGTTGAATACCTACAAAATAGTAGAAAGAAATATTAATAAGGGATATATACCTACTACCTGATTCCTAGAGCGTAGAATTTGATAGGAATATATTCTATGTTTATTGCAGCTGCCGACCATATATGCCGACCATATATACCAATCAAAAAGGGATTACCAGAATAATGAGGGAAGCTCTAACCAATTGATTATAGTTATGAGCTACTATATACTAAGGATAGAAACTACCTTAGTTCTTAGTAAGTAGCTGAGCATCTAGAGCAGCTTGCTCCTTTGCTTGCTGCTTCAAGGCCTCTACCTTAGCGTCTTGTATCTTTTGATAAGCGCAAAGTTGATCCTCGAAATTCAGCCGCTGCTAACGATGAAACTGACGCGCAATTTTCTTTGCGTCTCCTTCGAGAGTTTCCTGAGCAAGGCGTAAGCTATCTTCTGAACGCTCTTTCGCAACAGTAAGCGCGTGAGCTGCCGCTACCAGCTCATTAGCATAGGCTTCTAGCCTCTGCTTAAGAGTTTGCTTATCATCGCTAGAATCATCATCTAGCTCTTCTTGATTATAACTAGCTTGAAAGTCTCGACCTTGGACATCTTGATCTCGGACATCTTGATCTTGCTTATCTTGTTCCTGCTCATCTTTATCCTGCTTATCATCGTCCTGCTCATTATCTAGGAGTAGCGGAGTATTATCCTAAGCTATTAAATTAGTATATTATAATTAATAATAAAAGAGTAACTTACTAAGAGTTGCCTGCTGAGCAGTGGTATCCTCGCTATTATTGTTTTCTATAGTCGGATTCTGAGTAGCGTCTGGTATATCCTCGTTAGAATCGTCTTCAACGATTCGTCGAGGCTGCTTAGTTAGGAGAGGCTTGCATTTTGGCGTAGCCTTTGCTTTCAGCGCCTTAGTAGCCTTGTTCTTCTTTGGCTCTATGTAGATGAAATTGGGATTAACAGGACCAGAATTGTAAGGGCAGACTACGAAATCGTTAGGCCAAACACCCTACTCCTTGAGAAGCGAGCGAAGACACTCTATATCTTTGCCTTGGAGTGTGACGCGCTTAGCGTGGATAGCCAAAAGGTTGGCCGCTAGAGGAGGTAAGTAAGTAAGTAAGTAATCAGAAAGAATAAGAAATAGGAAGACTTATAGGTGAAGATTCTTACTAAGAGAGACTCAGCATATTCTTGAAGAACGCCAAGAGCGCTTGCTTGAATGCGAAGAGGTATATAAGCCTGATCTATAACGAGCTCCTTGATAAGTCTGGCAAATGGGGTTTTCTTGATGTAGAGCAGGCTCTCCTTCTGGCACTTCCTGATCTCTTTGAGAGCTAATGCTTTGAGAAAGTTAGTGCCGACCACAAATGCCGACCACAAATGCCGACTACAAATCTGGATTCTGGAATTACTTACTACCTGGGGCATATCTGTGTCCCTTCTTGATGCGAGTGCCTGGAAGCTTTTTACTACCTATGCGCGAAGGAAGTCCCTTTCCACTAGTGCGAGGAGTCTTGCGTACGATCGATTGTTTGCGCTTCTGCGCAATCGACATTGCCGAGGCCATTGTGGTGGATTGGTGCGCTGGTGTGGTGTAGTAGCGGTGGTGTGGTGTGGTATAGTGGTGTAGTGTGGTGTGGCGGAGGTGGTGTAGTGTGGTGTGGTATGGTGGAGGTGGTGAGGAGAGAGAGAAAGGAAGGGGGCAATGTTGATGTAGTAAGTTAGGTTTTTTCTGAAGTGGAGAGTAACTTTGTGTTGTTGGGAGACAACCGCTCGGCCAATCAGAGGCTACGGATTGTTTGCTGCCTGAGTAATAACACATACGCACTTCATACGAGATCCAAATAAGGTTTGCGTACGTAATCTTCAATTGCCGGGAGTGACCGGCAGGCACGGTCAGTAGGTACGGTCGGCAGGTACGGTCGGCAGGTACGGTCGGCAGGTACGGTCGGCAGGTACGGTCGGCAGGTACGGTCAGCAGGTACGGTCGGTAGGTACGGTCGGTACAGGTAGTAAATATTATCGGAAAGTCTTCTCGGTAGGAGTCCTAATCCTTCCCCTGAGATATGGTTGGCAGACATGGTCGGCAGACATAGTCGGCAGATATGGTCGGCAGATTCCTAAAAGCTTAAAAGTTATCTTTTCCGTTATTTTCCCCTAGGAAGCGCTTCCGAATCTATCGACAAAGTACTATATCCTTTTGCTGCAACGTCACTCGTTTCGCATATATTGCAAGCATATTAGAGACTTCGAACTCAAGTATAAGAAACGCTTCCGTCGCTTCCTATAGACAGAGGAGGGCCTCTGCTTGGAACCGGCATACGCTACTCGAAGATTTACTTGCGATATCCATAGTAACTTCCCGACAGATCCTCTAGAATGGTAGTCGACGTATTAACAGCTCGGTCGTCTTCTAGTATCTCCTAATCTCGCGAAGAGCAGCTACACTAGGCTTTGTTCGTCGCTTAGTTCTCGCTTTGGGTGCCTTTCGTATTATAGGCTTCTTCTGCGGCCGTTGACTCCCTATCGGCCTCTTATTCCCTAGATAGGACTTTTTCGCGACTAGTTTCGTACGTCCCCGCCTCCTTTCGGCGAGGCTTTTACTTAGTCCAGGAGAGGCTGTCGGTTGAGGTGGTTGTCGTATACGCCGCCTAATCGGTATATCCGAATCTTCGCTAGTCTCCGGACTATAGATTACTGGACCTGTACCTTGATTTGCTTGCCTTTCTTCCTTCTCTCCGCTATAATTAGGATCATAGATTACTCCCGCAGTACCTTGAGTTACCTGCTTGTCCTCCTTCTCTCCGCTATAATTAGGATCGTAGATTACTTTTGCGGTACCCTGAGTTCCCTGCTTTTCTTTCCCCTTTCCGAGATAGGATATCTTTTCGAGCGGCTCCATTCGTTCCTCCTGTGTCCTATCTAACCACTTCTGAGTCCTTATATCAGTTCCGCTATCAAAAGCAGCCTTCGGAAGCCCTCTAGGTCTCGATTGTTCGTCCTGTAGTAAATCGAGTCCATGGTCGAGTTGGTCGTCGTTATCCCTAGGGAGGGAGGCAGAGACGTAGGTAGAGAGGGAAACAGTATCCATATTAGGCATTTTGAGAGCTTTGAGTATGTCTCGGTAGATTGACAAAGTTGACGATAGAGAAGAAAAGAGAGAAGGAAAATACGGGGGTATAAGGAAAACCCGGAGTTTGCCAAGGCGCTTATCTCGAGAGTATATCGGATC